ATAACAACAATAACAATAATAATGATAACAATAATAATAATAACAGCAATAACAATAATAACAACAATAACAATGATAACGACAATAATAATAGTAATAATAATAATAATAGTAATAATAATAATAATAGTAATAATAATAATAATAGTAATAATAATAATAATAGTAATAATAATAATAGTAATAATAATAATAAAATAATAACAACAATATATTAAAAATAATAAGGGAATAATAATAATAATAAAAGAACATTAAGAATAATAATAATAATAATAGAATAATAATAATAATAATAGAATAATAATAATAAAAAGAGAATATTAGTAATAATAGTAGAAGAATAATAAAATAGTAATTATAATAATAATGAAATAATAATAAAAATAAAATAATAATAACAATACAATAATAATAATAACAGAATAATAATAACAATAGAAAAATAATATTAATAATATATTACAATAATTATATTATATAATTATAATAACTAATTAATAATAACTAATAAATAAAAAAATTATAACTATAATATATTTAATAAGATTATAATAACAATAGAATAATAAAAAAATTGTGATAATAATAATGGAATAATAATAATTGAATAATAATAATAATGATAAGATAATAACAATAATAGATTAATAATAATAGTATATTATATTAAAAATAATAGTAATAATAATAATAGAATAATAATAAAAGAATTATCATAATAATTGAATAATAATAATAGTGAAAGAATAATAAAAACAATAAAATAATAATAATAACAATAGAATAATAATAATAATAGAATAATAATAATAACTATAAAATAGTAATAATAGAATAATAAAAATAATAGAATAATAATAGTAATTGAATAATAATAATAATAGAATAATAATAACGATAGAATAATAATAATAGATTATAATAATTATATTATATAATTATAATAACTAATTAATAATAACTAATAAATATAATAATTATAATTATAATACATATAATAAGATTATAATAGCAATAGAATAATAAAAAATAGTAATAATTATAATAATAATAATAATAGACTAATAATAATAATGACAAAATAATAACAGTAATAGATAATTAATAATAATAATAATAATAATAATAGAATAATATTAAAAATGAAAGAATAATATTAATAATAAAATAATAATAATAAATAATATAATAATAAATAATAATAATAATAATAATAATAATAATAATAATAATAATAATAATAATAATAATAATAATAATAATAATAATAATAATTTTTTTTTGTATTTCGAGGCTGGGGAACAAAAAATGTCTACACACACCCGCAGAAAACGTCTTTCTGTGGGTAGTGCACGGTTCGCGCTAATCGCTGACATGCTAAAAAACTCCCCTTTCCAGGATGAAGCACATGACCCGGAACCACCACTAGGTATTGTTTCAGGTCATGCACATCCTGATTGTAAGATATAATCTTACGTCGCTGCTGTTGTACCTGCGTCCAGGCGCCTCTTTTTTGCGCGAAGTACTGCCTCCACGTGCCTCGCCACCACGTTCCAGTTGTTTTCACTTGCTAGTAGTAAGGGTACTACATTTTCCGGGGTCCAAATGCCGCCTATCTGTGCTTGCAGGTTGGTTCTCTCGATTAACCATTGATTGCATTCAAAAAACGTGTGTTCTACATCGTCGACATCAGCATCGCCATAGATGCAACTCTGCTCCTCTCGAATATTCATCCGGTACAGATATTTGCCGAAGTACCCGTGCCCGGAGAAGAATTGTGTCAGGTAATAGTTTACCTCGCCGAACTTCCTTGTGGTCCAGGCGACTAAGTCCGGGATGAGTCTTGCAGTCCACCTACCACTAGTTTCGTTAGTCCACCGACTTTGCCACTCTATCATTGTGTGTTCCCGATAATTTGTAGCTACGCTGCTGTTTTCGTTGCTTTGGCGGCTTAACCATGCTTGCCTCCGTTCCATGGCCATGAGGTCGATGGGTATTGAGCTGCTTATAACAAGGACCGCCGCACCTGAAACCGTACGGTATGCAGATGCTACCCTGAGTGCCGTTGTTCTCTGGATTTTTTCGAGCGCATTTCGCTTCTGGTTAATCTGTAATGCATTAGACCATACTTCAGAACCGTAGAGCAGAATCGCGTTCACAACTGTCATTAGCAGTTTTCGCTTGTCTTCTGTTGGGCCGCCAACGTTTGCCATTAGCTTGCTTAAGGACGCTGAGGCCTTTGAAGCCTTTTCACCTGCATGTTTTATCTGGGCCCAAAACGACATCCTGGAGTCCAGCTGGATGCCCAGATATTTCATTTCCTTGGACGTTTTAATGGTAGAGTTCCATACCCGCATTTCAATTTCCAAGGGTATTTGCTGTTTCGTTAATATAATGAGTTCTGTCTTCTCAGTTGCTAGCTTTAGACCGCGGTCATCCATCCATTCCATCGTGCGTAGCATGACCTGATTTAGTCTGAACTGTGCTTCGGTTACATTTCGTGCTGTGATGACTGCGGCTACATCATCGGCAAAGCCTACTAGGTGTACGTTGTCCGGCATTTCAATGGAGAATATTTCATCGTAGCTCGCATTCCATAGATCAGGGCCAAGAACGGAGCCCTGCGCTGCTCCGGAGGTGATCTTCTTAGTTTTTGTACCACTCCTTGTGTGATAGAGAAGCTCTCTATCGCTAAGGTAGCTGCGGATCATTCGCATCAAGTACATCGGTGTATTAAAGCGTCCTTCAAGGGCGTTGATCACATCGGTCCATTGTAGGCTGTTGAACGCATTCCTAATGTCTAGAGCCGCCAGAAGTACTATACGCTTCGAGTAAGCATTTCCACATTGTGCGGCTTCTACGGTTGCCGCCACATCAGCGATAGCTCCAATGGTGGACTTTCCTGGCCGGAAACCGTGCTGTCTGGTGGATAGTCCCCCAGCGCTCTCAATGGATGCTGCTATACGCGGTTTTAGTAGTCGTTCCAGCAGTTTCCCTGATGTGTCGAGCATACAAAGTGGTCGGTATGCATTTGGCATCTCGGGGTTGCCCTTTCCTTTGCTAATTAGGGTTAGTTGCTGCTTTTTCCAGGGCTCTGGAAAAATGCCTTCCTTCAGACAAGAGTTAAACATTTCAAGCAGGGATTGTGGGCGGTCGTCTGCTATCAGCTTAATCGCCTCAGATGGGACACCGTCCGGTCCTGGGGCTTTGTTATTCTTCAGAGAACGTGCTGCGGTTTTAAGTTCCTCTTCCGTAAAAAGCGGTGGATCATCGGTGAGTACCCTTTCACAGTCTCTGCGTATTTCATGATCCGGAAAAAGAGAATTTACGATGTTATCCATCACATTTTCTTCCAATTCAGGAACTGGCGCCAAGGCACCTATTTTTCGCATGACGATCTTGTAGCCAAGTCCCCAAGGGTCGTTATTTACGTCTTCACGTAACTCTTCCCATTTTCTTTTCTTACTTTTGGAAATAGCGATCTTTAATGCCTTCCTAGCTGCCTTTAATGCTTCGCTTTCTGCCGTGGCATCTCTCCGTGTTCTGGCCCTGGTCCTTCTCCTCCGCATTTGGAGACAGACCCTTCGAAGTTCAGCAATTTCTTCAGTCCACCAATAGGCTGCCTTTCTTCTGGGATTTTTTGCCACTCTAGGCATTGCTGCATCGCAGGCCTGTGTTATGCTGTGCATTGTGTGGCGGACCAAGCTCCTGGCATCTCCTCCTCCAGTGTTTCTACTCATCCTATCATCGAACACTTCGAGAAAGATATCCCTATTGAGTTTATTCGTGGACCATTTGCGAGTAGACCTCCTTCCGGGGTTTCCATTTGGCCTATTGCCTGGCTCGACGGTGAACCAGATGTATTGGTGATCGCTCCCCGTGTAGTCCTCGAGAACTGACCATTCCTTGAGCGTACCAGCTATCTTCTCCGACACTAACGTGATGTCTGGAATAGTGCCTTCGCAT